CACCATCTTGGTCTTTATACCTTCGATTATGCAAAAAATAGTTGGGTTTCGAGGAATCTCTTGTACATAATTGTTGAGCTTACTTCCATTTCCAGTGAAATGTTGGATAAAGAGATTCGAAAGTCGTCGTCTGGTGGAACCGACCTTTAAATCTCTTCACCCAACACTTTCACTCAAAACGGAAGTAAGCTCAATAATTCGGCATGAAAGTTTTCCATAACCTAGAACTATGATGAAGCAGATTTTATGGGAGATTCATTATCAGAATGGCAAGCCCGACAACTTCTTACATGTCTAAACTCATAGTCCAATGAAATTCTGACAGCATTGAGCCCGAAGTATGGATTGTTACATAATGATGAGGCTCTTTGTAGTGCCCACATTCCGCCAAGCCTACATTACTATTAGCTGCGCCGATAAAATATTTAAACGTATTTTTAGACCAAACTTATCTAATGTATAAAGTCATCCTCTTTGGCACCTTCAATCCAACAAATATAAATACACCTCAATCAACGTCTAAGATTTCTTTCTCATATTTTGATAATTATCCACTTTATTATTACCAATTATTTTGAGGTTGCGTAGCGTTTAGATTTGATGAGTCTATTCCATCTGTAGCAAATGCTTTACCAATACAGATTGATAATACATAAAATCCTATAGCCTTTCATAACCCATGGTTTACCGATTAGTCAAGAAGTTTCATACAAAATGTAGGATTTCAAGCTATTTTTCGTTGTGCAAAACAAAAATTAAAACGAAACGAAAAGAAGGCTGGTGGCTGTATTTATTGAAATTCCATTGATATCTGTAATAATATAAAACAATTTTTCGTGCGTGAAATTGGATTTTAGAAAAATATGCATTCCTGAATAAATTGATATGAAGTGCCAAAATCAGAGAATAACTGAACTAAATTAATACAATAATAGAGTTTTGAGAAATCTTTGTAATAAGAAAAGAGACAAATTATAAAAACATGGCTGTGCAACAAAGTTCGTCTATATTACAAAACTGATGAGTCGTTTGATTAAGCATCTCACAGCTATATAAGACTTCAACAAATGATCTCAAACTCGCTGTCAAAAACATATTTTATTCGCTCTTATCAATATTTTTTCAACAATAGATTAAAACAGAATTAATGTTTACCTTTCGAAGTTCGAAATCCTTACGAGAGAGAATGATGCCTTGTTGCAAGCACATGTTGATATCCTCCGGATACTGGCGCCATTGTAGGACCTTAGCCAGATGTTCTGGGAGAGTAAAGAATTCAGAAACAAAAATCTCCTTAAAAACGTATGGATTAAAAATAATCGAAGTGTAAAAGCAAAACTAGGAAATATGCAAAAAATGTAGCATTTAACCTTTATCATAGCAAGTAAATGAAATCGATACGATACTTTATTCGTATCCTGGAATTATTGATGGATGTTCGCACTTCAGGCGAGTATGGTAATGTTTTTATATACTTTTTCTTACGAATGATGAAGGCACATGTAGAAAAATCCGGAGGATATTATTGGGCTCAAGGATTATAATAAATTATAAATATCAACCAATGGTATAAATAAAAGTGATCCATAGAAGCAAACAAACATATGAAGTTAATGAGAGAGAAACAATTTAGATATGAAAGTAAGATAGATTTTGTCATATATTCTGACCTCTAAGATATATATTTTTTAACGTAATAAATGAGGCGATAATCATGATGAAATTGGTGAATCGATGAGAGGAATAGAATAAAGCTTTAAATCTTAATAGTTTAGCTCTTCGTAAATAGTATGAAATATAAACATGTAGAAATATGACCCATTCTTGAGATCCGGCTGCTATAATATTGTGCTCTCGTAGTCGACCTTATGTAGGTGAGACATGTCGGCCTATTCGACAATGACTGAGGTAACACAAAAATACATGCATAGGAAGCTGGGTCTAACGAAAATATGTGGCCGAACACATGCCAGAGATTGGACATTAAATAGAATGGTCTCATACCTGTAGGTTTGCTGATTATGGTACGTCTGCTGTCAAAAGGAGGGTAAGAGACTATTGAAAGTAAGAGATTAGGGAATATGTTGAATGTGAGGAACGGCTGTAGAAAGTTAAGTAAGAACTATTTATGCTTGATTGATAGATTGAAAAAGAGAAAAACGGTTGAGGCGCCATCCAAAAGAAGGCGACTCAACTTGACTGTTCAGTGATGGTTCTAAATTCACTCACACTCGTCCAACATGTCAGATTAGGCTCAGCAACCAAATCAGATGCTCGCGGTTAAGCAGACCAAATTATGTCTGTACTAGGAAGGTTAAACGCTAATTGCCCTAGAGTGAGAGGTTAGGACAGATGGTTTCGTAACCTGACTTAGACACTTACAAGATAACATCTCATTATCTCAACCATTCTGGCTTACGAACTTACATTTTATTGGGCAATTAAGCATTGATGGCCTGAGCCTATATCCATCTAGGTTGTTCATTTAAAATTTTCTTTCGGCGTAACTGAGTCTATGTAAGAGGTAAGAAAAAGCCGGATAGTCTTCTTGACCTAGTGTTCACATTTGACTTATAAAAGAATGACACCCAGCTCTGAAGATTTCAATCGAATGATGGACGAAAGCTCAGCACGTTTTCACCCGAAACCAGGGAGGAAGTCTCGTGGACTGCGTCAGCATGAATATGGTATAAAATCCAACCGGCTGCAGTACGAGTTTCATCCGTCCTCATCTGGTGAGATCAACCAACGAATCTCTTCTTCATGCGCTTTCATACGAAATGAAGGTCCCCCTAACAACATTATATATCTATCAATGCCTTTTAATTTTATTTTGCTTAATTAATTATATATAGTAAGTTAGATGGAGCCTGATAGCCTTCTTGACCCGGCGTTAGCGTGAGACTTTTACAAGATTGAGTTTCAGCTCCAAAGACGTCCATCAAATGATGGACGAAAGCTCAGCCCGGTTTTGCCCGAAATAAGGGAGGTCTCGTGGACTACGTCAACCTGAACGTCGTATTAAAGACAAACAACGGGATCCAGCCGTCCTCTGGTGAGATCGTCCTTAAAATAGCTTTTTTATGTACTTTCATACAAACTGAAACTCTCTCCTAAAATGTAAAAATCGCAACAAAAATTCGCTTTGTGGACAAATCCCTACGATATGCCTGGGTAAATGTAGGCTTACCTTGCCTTCGCATGAAATCCCATAACAGAAATGGAGTGGTCTATTGTCAATGTGGAGTGAATAATTTAACGAACATAACATTCCCATAAGTGTCTTAACCAAAAACTATGAAAGCCAGTTTTCTATATCCCTATAACCTAGTGTCATCTAATATACATAGCTGCATTATCAAAGTACTTACGCACGGATGTGCTCGACTTGTTCTCAAGCGATCCTTTTTAAAATGTAGTGAATCAATGTTTGGTTGAATAAAAATACAGTGATTAATTTAAGGTTGTGGTAATATGCGTTTTTTTAAAAGGTGAAAACTAATAATGATAAAAGATACAAACAAGTGTAGTCAGAATACCGAGTATGCTTATATCTAATCATGCATAAGGTTGTGATTTGACACATATTAATTTGTACTTTTAGCTATAAGACACTACATAAAGTCTGCTGCTTAATCACGAAACCGCTTAGCTAAGGATTATTTAAATCACGGACAAAATTCATTCATGGAAAAGCACGCTCAGATATTGTTTATAAAATTTTCGTCAAGCTTCAAGTGCTTATAAAATCCTCTAGAATAAGACTATAAAGTGATAAACAAATTTAAGACAGGTAAATATCATCTTGACCAAGAGATCAAAATTGTAATGATATAACTTTTCTTACTAAAGAATGCAATAATTGATATTTAAAAGAAAAGGTTTTCTTGGTCTAGAAAATCAAAAGCACTAAAGCAGTACCAAGCAGAGAAAACTGCGTCAATTCCCAACACAAGCTGCTCAAGCCAATAACAAGTATATCAAAAAATATTATTATAGCTCATGACGCTGAAGGTTAACATATCTCTTAAATGAATATATTTAAGATGGGATAAACGTTAATGCCTTTTAAATGCAGACAAAGTATCCGAGAGAAGTGGTTTAGAGTAATTATGTGACCATAATAAGCAGGGCTAAAATAGAGGAAAATGGCGGGAACCAGTGTAAAAAAATGCATCATAGATGATTCTAAATTATTATTTAACGTATGTGAAAAAAATTCAAGACTTACCATCTGTCGTATATTGGCTACTACAAACAAAGGTCTGCACTGTCAGAACATCTGCGATTTTGTGCTTGCCACTACTGCTGCCACTAAGCGCACTTGAACTGCCGCCACTGCCACCACCACTGCTGCCAGAAAAGCCGAGTGAAGTTGTATTTGAGGAGGAATGACCTGTAGGTGAGTGGCTAAATCCAGAACCGGAGCCGAAACTATTCATTTCTGTGAATGAAGACTCGCGTAAGTATTGACATGAGTTTATGCGAGTCTCATCCATCTAAGTAGGCGAAGTCGAACATTCATATTTGGCATCAGAAAAATCAAAAAAGAAAATGAATTGAAAGTTAATGAAATAAACCTGGTCGCTTGGGTTTAAGCAAAGCGCATAAAAAAGACTAGAAAAATAAACTTTTGTGGTTTATTAGGCTGAACATCAGAAGAAGAAGATCTATGCTATATAAGCTGAAAATGAAGAGATATCAGCGCTGGCCTGATGAGAAGAGGAAAATAGCAATACAAAGTTAAATCGCAAGGGGTTGTCAGGTAGCTATGCTAGAAGCACTCTACACAGATCTCCCAGAAAGCAGAGAAGAGTATTTTATTCGATGTGCGGAGATAATGAATAAGTGCATCTAAGTGGAAACATGAT